GAAAATACCAAATCTGTCCTAAAGTAGATGGACTAAGGAACCTGTGTTAGATGTTAGGAACTTTAGATGGACTAAGGAACCTGTGTATGAAGTATCCCGCTTCAACAGTGATCAACTCTTGGCTGATCCTGTTCATCTGTGAACCCCTCCACCTCACCTTGAAGGAAATCCTAGCATTGTATTCCTTCATTTGTAAATTGTTCTCTCTCTAAAAGATTAGGACTCTAAAAACAAAGAAATAAGACATAATCTTAATACATAACACCATTGCTGCACCTAGATGAAAACCCATTATAGGCAACCGGTGCCTGTGTGGATGCTGGATCGCAGGCAGTGGCTTTACCTGCTAAGCCACGATGCTGGCCCCATCGTAATTTTAATATCATTAAATGTTAAGTGTGAGGTTCTTTAGTGAAATAACAGTGCTCAAGTAGGTATTAAAGTGACTCTGCTATCCAGTGAAACTGAAGAACACCAGCGTGATCATGATTAGGTCAGCATCATTTAATTCATCGGAACTCGTGCTAGCTCAGCGGATTTAGGGGTTCTAGATCCAGCCCTGTTGGCGGTGTCACCTCCCAGGGCTTTGGTTCCTGTGCACAAGTTGTCAGCCCATTTACAGTGACCGGCCAGAGGCTGAATGAGGAAATGTCATGTTCTTTTCTCTGCTGGTTACAGTTCAGATACTATTTTAACTGTGGTTTCAGACATACAGGGTTCTCTAGTCTTTGTCCGTTGGGGCGTATTGCATCTGCCATGGCAGTGTGACCAAGCGCGGCTCACTGATGGGGTGGATGCTCGTCACATTGGAGGTTGTGCGCTGGGTGAGGACAGACCTTGGGAAGATCTGGGAAGCCCACTGGGCTGCAGTCCCTGCACCCTCACACACCTCGCTCACTTGCTCACTTGCTCACTGCTGATTTGAGAACAGCTGGTGGTCCCTGCTTCTTCATCCGTGGGTTGTGGAGGTGCAGTCTGTGTGATACCCTCGGGATCACTTAGTGCATAGGGATTTATCGAATCCTGCAGTCTGTTTGGTTGCCCCCTGATGGCCACACACTTGCCCCCTCGTTTCCCCCTTCCAACACTTAGGCACTGCTGGGATCCGGAAACAGTAGAGCAGAGGGCCTGACCTCTCGGACGTTCGCTGAAGTCTAGCCTTGGTACACAAGGGGGGAGGTGCCAGCAGGTCTATCTGCACTGCAGAGGAGCTGCCACTGCAGTGGAACCTGGAAGATAAGCAGGTGTTCCCCAGGTGGAATGGACTGGAGTAAAGAGGGCTTTCCAGGCAGCAGGGACAGAGCTGTATCCCTCCTGCTGTGCAGCATGCGGAATGGCCCTCCGACCCCCAAGCACTGCCCTCCCTAGTCCAAGCCCTTACATTTCACCCACCGGGTCCCACCGGGTCCCACCGGGTCCCACAGAGTCCCACAGAAACAGTGAGCCTCTCCTTCTCTGAGGACTCTCCCCGGCTCGTTTTTGTCATGTCATTCAGTGATATCAAGAGTGTAAGGGGCCAGTGCCGTGGCATAGCGGGTAAAGCTATCACCTGCAGTGTCGGCATCCCATACGGGCGCCGGTTTGAGTCTGGGCTGCTCCTCTTCCGATCCAGCTTTCTGCTGTGGCCTGGGAAAGCAGTGGAAGATGGCCCAGGTCCTTGGGCCCCTGCACTCATGTGGGAGACCCAGAAGAAGCTCCTGGCTCCTGGCTTTGGACTGGCACAGCTCTGGCCATTACACCCATCTGGAGAGTGAAAGCAGATGGAAGACCTCTTTCTCTATCTCTCTGCCTCTGTCTCTCTCAAACTCTGCCTTTCAAATAAATAAATAAATCTTTTTAAAAAAGTGTAGGAAGTTGACACAAGTCTTAGATCATTAAAGGGCCAATGTATTTTCGTTTTACTTTGATTTCATCATCGTTTTACACTAGAATGGTCTTTCTCCTATCAGAAGTAAGAGACGTTCTCTTACTTATGCATATCCCTACTTTATCCTGTCAGTGCCTTTTTAAGTTTGTACTATCTGTGGAAACATCAAAAAATTCAAAGCACACAGCCCCTCAGCCTTTCAGAGTGTTAGGTGGACATCAGAATTGGAGCAGAGTGTGTGTGCCGTCTGGCAGCTTCCGCTCAAAAGCAGGACCGTGCCTGATAGGAAGGAGAGTCCGAGCCCGGCGGGAGTCTTCGGGAGCCGATGGTGCCCGTGCCTCATTGCAGAGGTCGTCTGTCGCGCCCTGCTGCTTGGGCCTGCGAGTGTGCCTAATCAGACAGAGCAGGGCCCGCAGCGTGCTGCTGTGTTACGGATTTGGAATTTTTATGTGTGTGGCTTTCAGTAGTTCTCACAGCTCTCAGATGTCTAAAGAAATAGAGCTCGTTTATTTCTTTTCATTCTTGGCATTTAGAATGTTGTTTTATACATTGTATTCTTGTTAAGTGTTGGTTTATTGTTATTAAATCAGTAATGACTTACAACCTCTTAACTTACCGAGAATTCGTTTTAATCCTGAAGAAGCTTTTTGCACTGTTTAAATAAACTGATTTTATGGAAATTTGCCGTCCAAGGCGTGTGAGGCCGGGATGGCATGCGTGCTCCTTCACTGAATGCCCTTGTGACCACGGTGTGGTGAGCTGCCCACGCAGCCTTCCTGCTGCCAGCACTCAGCCCGTGTCCACTGCTCCTGCTTTGGAAGGGGGTGGTGGCTTGGTCTGGCCTGGGTGATAGAGTCCTCTCGACCCTTTGACACTCTTTATGGGAACCTTTATGACTTCTAAAAACAAACGGTTCTGGACGTTACAGCTCTTAGTGGGTGTGAGGCTGGGGATGTACCATTCTGCCTGACACTGTACGTGTAATCCTCCTAGGATTATTTGGCACCTGCTATTTGTAAAACATCTAGTAAGTGTTTGGGAGGCTCTGCTTTGCTCCAGGAACTGTGCCTGGCAAGCCATAGGGAAAGAGAGGGCTGTCTTGCCTCTAGGAGCCTGTAGTCTGGCAAAGGAAGGTCGGTCCAAGAACCAGTTGTTGTCCTCATGGAGAAATAGGTGCAGCCTTTTGAGAGAGACTGGCATCTGGCTGTGGCTGGCAGTGGGTGTGGGAAGGAAAAGAGAATTTCAGGTAGGAGGAAGAATTTGCCTTCAAGGGAATGGTGGGAAGGGCATTCCAAGGAAAAAACTACGTGGGCATACAAGCGAGGGGTGTGCTTCTCCTGGGGCAGGGAGCCTGGGGTCCAGCGGGGCAGGGACTGAGGCCACGTGGGACTTCAGGGCTGAACTGTGAAGGGGTTGAACGCTGTGTTTGGGAGCCTGGACTTGTTCCGTTGGTCAGGCCGAGATCGCTGCGCTGGCCGCCCTTTGGCAGATCAGCCAGAGCTGTTGCTTTTGGCTGCCGTGGATTCTGAGACCAGAACTCAGCATGGCCTGATTTCTTACACCCACCCTCTTCCTTGCTTTCTTTGCCTTACAGGGTTTACCCGGCTAATAAAGGCAGGTGAGTTTTTGACCACTTGTAGGTATGGATCTGGTAAGGGAACTGAAGCACTGAAGATTTTTAGCCAGAAGAATCACCTTATGAAATGTGTGTGATGCAGTCAAGCCTTCCTGCTCACCTCTTACGTTGTTTTGTAGCAGACTGAAAAGGTTTCGGCTTACCTGGGGAACAGAAGCAGGCGGGCGAGGAAAGCAGCTGTGCAGTACCGGGAAGTGTGTCGAATCCCGGCTCTGGGTCCTGAGCTTGAATCTGAGCCCGGCCGTGTGCCGATTGTGTGGCCCTGGGCCCGTCCCTCAGCTTCTGTGCAGCTCGCCTGCAGACTGGCTCAGGAGAACAGTGAGGCTGGTGCCCGCCCGGGCTCCCCGCTTCGTTACCTTACAGCCACAGCTGTTGTGGCCATTCTTGATTTCTTTCTTTGACTTAGGCTCTTAAAATGTCTTAGAGTAGTTTTCTGGACTACATTTATAATAATAGTCTCAACTGTATGGGAGATTTAATGAAACCTACACACCTGTCTCCAGACAAACTGGGAGCCTTTTTCTTGTGACCTGTGGCTTTCTTTTATGTTTAGACATGTACTTATCCCACTAATGTGTTCCAGCTTCTTGCACCTAGAGCCCTGAGGGGAGCTGCAGCCCTCCTTCCATGTTTATAACGTCGCTGACGAAAGATGCCTGTCTGTCTGTGAAAGTGAGATTGGAGGACAGGCCTTGTTGAAGTGAGTGCCGTGTGGGTGGTATGCAGAGGCCTTTAAATTCAGAGCAAAGTGGATGGGTAGCCTCGACAGAAAAACTCACATGGGAGAGAGGAAAGTTCAGAGAGCTTTCAGGGCTGCGCCGTGTGTGAGTGGGAAGCCGAGTGAATGTGGTCAGAGAACAGAGCAGGCCACCAGCTGTGTAATCCTTCTCTCCTGTCCCTGTCAACTGTGCTCTGGGTTTTCTTCCAATTCTTTCTGTAATTTTTAATCCCTAGCTCCATGCACAGTACCTGACACGTGGTAGGAGCAAAGCTTTAGACGCATCTGTGGAAGCAAGATGGGGGATTGCTGTACAGGGAGAAATCATCGTCCCTGAGCCCCTTAGCTCTGCTGCTCGGCCTGGCCACTATGTATAAGCCTGATCGCTCTAGCCTTAGACTGCGTCCTCCACAACACTTGAAAGAAGCAATAATTGTCTGTAAGATGTTAGATGTAAGACACGCAAGGAAGGGAACTGGCCATCGCTGAATGTGAGCTGTGCAGGTCCCAAACATGCGTTGTTGAATCCCTACGTTCCTAGTGTCCCAGTCATGACAAGTAGAGGTAGCAGGGGCCACTGGGAGGGGGCAGGGCCCAGGAATGCACGTGTTGGGCACCGGGGGACAGTCTGAAGCTGAAGTTGCTTGCTTTGTAGCTTCAGCATATTTCTGCAACTTGATTTCCCTTCTCTGTTTATTTAAAATGTATTACATATGAACTTCTGAATGTAACATGCCTCACATCTATATAAACTATTTGCTTTCTTTTTTTAATTTTAGATTTCTCATATTGGCAAACTGAGAGATTTTCTTCTGGAACATAGGAAAGATTATATTAATGCTTACAGGTAAGCACATCTTTGCTGTGTTTGTGTCCATCCCTGTGTTCCTTTCAAGTTTTAAAAATCTGTTTGAGAGAACACTTGTCTCATCTACCAGTTCACGCCCCAAATGCCTGCACTGTCTGAGGCTGAAGCTGGGAGCCAGGAACTCAGCCTGGGAGGCAGGGACCAGCGACTTGGGCCATCACCGCTGCCCCTAGAGTGCGTTAGCAGGAAGCTGGAGTAAGCAGCCAGAGTGACCCAGACCCAGACAGTCTAAGGGAGGACACAGGGATCTTAACACAGGCCAGATTCCTGCTCCTGCCATTTTGGTGATGTTCTTACGGGTGTCTTTCAGCCCCTCACCCTCGTCTCCTTGGGTCAAGCTCTCCTTATCAGGTTCCAGTCCTCAGCTGTGAAAGCTGTCTCCCTCTGCTGGCCTTCTGCCAGGCTCTGGACACTTCCTGCAGACAGTGACAAGCCCACTTCGGCGTGGCCTTCATTTCTCTTCTTCTTTTTTTAAAAAAAGATTTATTTATTAATTTGAAAGGCAGAGTAACAGAGATAAAGAGAGACAGAGATCTTCTGTCTGCTATTTCACTCCATAAGTGGCTGCCACAGCTGGGGTTGGGCCAGGCCAAATGCAAGAGCCAGGAACTCCATCTGTGTCTCTGTGGGGTGGCATGGCCTCAGATATTTGGGTCATCATCTACTGCTTCCCAGAAGTGTGTGCAGGAGGCTGGGTTAGAAGCAGAGTAGCCAGGACACAAGCTGTGCTCCCGCAGAGAGTGAGGGCATTTCAAGCAGCGACTTAACCCACTGCACTGTAGCACCTGCCCCGGCCTTCATTCCTTAGGGTGCTTTGGATGAGTTCATTTATTCCTGCCCTAGTGTAGGTCGTGGTCACGGTCCTCCCAGTGACAGGTACAGTTTCTATTCAGCATAGTCTTTCATTTATTTATTTTTTAAAGATTTATTTATTTATGTGACAGTCATGAATACTGTCCTGTGGTCAGCATCAGCACCCTGGCCTGGCGGCTCATGCTCTGCCCCTGCCTTCTCTGGCCTCATCTCAGGCTCGCCCTGCTATTCCCCGCCCCCTGCCGTGGTGCTGCCCCGGGTCAGCCGTCCTGGAGGGCTCCATGCTCTCTGCTGCTGCAGCCTGGGCTTGTGATGTGCCTCCTCCTCCCAGTGCTGTCCCTGCCAGACTGACTCTCGGCTTTCACAGCAGCTCCTCCAGGAGGCCTTCTCTGACCACTGAGTGGGTTCTTTCAGTAAAACCGATCTCCTGTTAGTCTCTTGTTTCTCCACCCTGTCTGTCCTCTTCACGGCACACATCGCAGTGGGTACCTAGTCAGTGATAAGAACAGCAGCTCCTTCCGTCTTGGCCATCAGATGAAGGTTTTGAAGGCCAGGGACCTGGCCAGCTCTCCGTTCCTGTTTCCACCATGCCCCACCCCTGCCTGGTCCCCAGCAGACACATGTCAGACGACTGAGTGAGTGCGTGCGTGCGGTTTCTCCCAGTCCTGAGGTCCACGACTGGCCCCGAGGTTCTCGGCCACAGGGCTGCTTGGTAACGTGTGGTATGTTTTTGTTTGGCACAGCTAGGGAGAGAAGTGCTCCTGACATTTAGTGGGCGCAGGCCAGGGATGTGCAAAGCATCTTTCAATCGCAGGACAGCTTTCCACAAGAGAATTGTGGGTGAGGAGAAGCCCTGCCGCAGCCTTGCCCCTCGCTCCTTTAGCGACGTGTGCTAAGTCCTGCTCTGTTCCCAGTTCTCCTGCAGATGCTCGGGGCGCGTCAGGGAACAAAGCAGGCACAGCTTTCGCCCTTGTGGAGCTTGTGTCCTAGCGGTTGTCAAAGGCAAGCAGCAGGTTTATGGGTGGTAGGTGACAGGTCCCGTGGGGAGAAGCGGGGCAGGACAAGGTCACAGGGCTGCGGAGGCCAGGGGAGGAAGGCCTGTGGTTTTACCAAGAGGTAGGACAGACCCTGTGGAGCGCCCTCATGGCCCACTGCCCTGTGACGTCTGGACGCGACGATAGGCGTGCTCTCAGTGCACCCCAGCCCCTCGCCCTTCCTCCTGGCCTCCTGCTGTGGGGAAGCAGCCATTTTCCATTTCTCAGGGTCGCCGTCCCTCCTCGTGGCCTTCATCACACCGCTCCCACCGCCCCGAGACAGAGCGGAGCTGAGTCCCCAGCTCCACACGTGGCCCTGCTGCCCCTCAGCCTCGGGCACCAGCCCTTTGTCTGTCTTCCATGCGAGGGCAAGGGGACAGGCTGTGTCAGGGACTGGCAGGTCCTGTCACAGGCCAGGCAGTGGATGCTAGAGGCATTGAGAGCCACATACGGTTTTCATCAAATATTATCCTTTCTGTTGTTCCTTACCACCTTTGAGAACCGTGTGAGCTGCCTTAGCTCTTGTGCTGTGTAGAGCAGGCCCGTGGGGTGGATTTGCTCACCTGTGCTTCCTCACCATTCCTCCGGCCCCGGTCCCACATGGTGTAGCTGGGTTCCCGACGCGTTCTCCGCGAGCTCACCTGTGACTGCGCATGGCTGAGACTGGCTGTGCGTGAGCGCGGCAGCACGCACTCCGCGCCTCTTCCTCCTGCCATTCAGCTTCTGAAGCTCGTCATGTGTTTGCACCGGGCTCTGTTCCCTCTGACTGCTCTACTGTGCGCTGGCGCTAATGTTCCACCTGCAGAAGGCGCACAGTTCACCTAGCTGTCTGTCGGACGGGACGCTGGGCTGCCTCGGCACAGGGTTGGTGTGAGTAAAGCTGCTCCCTCCCTCCCTCCCTCCCTCTTTCCCTCTCTCCCTTCTTCCCTCTTTTCCTCTCTCCCTCTCTCCCTCTCCCTCTCTCCCTCTCCCTCTCTCCCTCTCCCTCTCTCCCTCTCTCCCTCTCTCCCTCCCTCCGTCTCTCCCTCTCTCCCTCTCTCCCTTCTTCCCTCTCTCCCTTCCTCCTTCCCTCCCTCCCTCCCTCTCCTTCCTTCCCTCTCTCCCTCCTTCCCTCCCTCTCTCTCCCTCCCTCCCTCTCTCTCTCTCCCTTCTTCCCTCTTTCCCTCCCTCCCTCTCTCCCTCCCTTCCTCCCTCTCACCCACCCCTCCGTCTGCCTCCCTCCCTCCCTCCCTCCCTACCCGACAGGAACTCCAGGGTTCTGTTTTGCACCTTTGGTTCTCCCTTGCACTGGGAAACGCTTCTGTCAGTACGTGTTCTCTGTGTCGTGAAGGTTTCCTCCAGATTTGGTACCACTGCCTCGCATCAGCCCTTGGGAGGGAGACGCTGCTAGTAAGCCTGGTTGACAAGGAGCCAGGCGTGGAGGTGAAGGGGCTGCCGGCGAGCCAGGCCCGTGGCTGTGGTGCCCATGCTGTCACCACCTCTGTCTTCCCCATTTCAGGGCTCGTCCTGAGCTGTGGCTTCTTCAGCTCCAGGTTGTCCCTGCTCCACCAGCCCCACACACGAGCAGTGCCTGCTGCATGTGTCACCGCTGTCCACTTCCTTCTGTGCCCTCCAGCATGCTCTGTGCGGTCCTTGTGACTTGCCAGCTCCTTCCCCTTGTCCTGTTCTCTCCGCGTCTGTCTAAAAGGCATAGCTACAGTCCTTAGCACAGGGAGCCTTCCTCAAATCCCTTCCCTTTGCTTGTGGAACGAGGCCCATGCAAGACTCCGTTAACCTCAGCCACTCTCCCAGCCTGCCCTTCCTCCCTGGGTCCCATTGCTGCGTTCAGAGTGGACGCTTCCTCTGCCCCGGGCCTTACTCAGTTTGCTGGGCGTTCTGCCCTCCCCGCGTCCGTGCATGTCCCGTGTCCGTGGGCGTCCATCCTGAAAGGCCCACGTTTCACCACCACCTTCCCCCAGAGCTGTCTTGGTGCTGCCGTCCTAGCCGTCTGTCCTGCCTCCCTGTGCTGACAGCTCTTTCCTGCTTCTCCTCTGGTACTTTAGTTCATGGGCTCTGCCACCAAGTTTCTTACGCATCTCCGCGTGTGTCGCAGTACCACGGTTGGATCACTTGAGTGATTCCTTCATCGGTTCACCCATTCTGCACACGCTTACCGAGTGCTTAGCATGTACCAAGCATGGAGTGTAACATTAACATGGCTCTCCTGGTCTTCGTGGCGCTGTTGACGGTTTCATGAGAACAGATAACAATGGAGATATGACAGGTGGCTTTGAGGAACTTTTTACTTGGGGCACCTGTCCTTGAAGAACTGACAGTTGAGCTGAGGTATGAGAGAGTAGGGGTGACCTGGTAAAAAAGGGAGGGAGGAGCATTTAAATTCAAAGGGATTTCTCTTCAAAGAGCACCCTGCAGACAGTGTCTGACTTGTTGTGAAACACGCAGAGGTGAAAAAGTTCCTAACTCTTTATTTTTTTAAAAGATTTATTTTATTTATTTGAAAGAGTTACAGAGAGAGGTAGAGACAGAGAGAGGTCTTCCATCCGCTGGTTCACTCCGCAGATGGCTGCAACGGCTAGAGCTGTGCCGATCTGAAGCCAGGAGCTTCTTCCAGGTCTCCCACATGGGTGCAGGGGCCCAAGGACTTGGATCATCTTCTACAGCTTTCCCAGGCCACAGCAGAGAGCTGGATCGGAAGAGGAGCATCTGGGACTAGAACTAGCACCCATATGTGATGCCAGCACTTCAGGTCAGGGCTTTAACCCACTGCGCCACTGTGCCAGCCCCTCTAACTCTTTAAATGTGTGTGTGTGTGTGTGTGTGTGTGTGTGTGTGTGTGTGTGTGTATTTTCAAGTAGAAGCAGATTTTTAAAAAAATGTCTTGATTTTCATCTACCTGAAAAGCACAGTACCAGAGAGGACCACAAGGTCTTCCATCTGCTGGTTCATTCCCCAAATGCCTGCACTAGCCAGGGCTGGGCCAGGCCGAAACCAGTGTCCCGGAACTCCATCCAGGTCTCCATGTCAATGGCAGGGGCCTAAGCACTTGAGCCATCTTCTGCTGCCTCCCAGGACTCATTAGCAGCAACCTGGATCAGAGCAGAGCAGCTAGGACTAACTGGCACTCTGATATGG